GCGGTCATGCAACGCTGCACCCAAATGAAATTTATGTCCTTTTTTTTCCCACAAATGGAGCTTTCTTTCTATGGTAGTTGATCACCTCTGCGTTTTTTTTTTTTTTGCTCTAAACAAAAAAAGACCGACAATTTTGACAAATATTTTTACTTTTTGCTATAAAATATATCCAGTAAAAAAAAATTTAAACATCACATTTTGTCATAAATTTAGGCCAAAATGTATCCTGCTTCCTGTCTTTGCTGAAAAAAAATCCCATACATGTAAATTAATTGGTTTACGTAAAAGTTTTAGCATCTACAAATGGCAGTATAAAACTGGATTTTTTTTCCTTTTTCTACTAGTAATGGCGGTGATCAGCAACTTATAGCGGGACTGCAGCGGAATTCTGACACTGGGGGGGAACTGACTAACTGCCACTGACATCCCCAGTGACACTAATACAGTGATCAGTGCTAATAAAAAGCACTGACACTGTACTATTGACACTGGGCAGGAATGGAATAACGTATGGGGCGATCAAGGGTTAACTGTGTGCTGTTTTACTATGTGTGCTGTGTGTGTTTTGCTATGTAAGCATGCTGCTTTGAATTGCTGTGCTATGCAGAGCAATACAAAGCATTATGCTGGTGCTGACAGGGGAGAGATCTGTGTTGTTTACATACAGACCTCTCCCTGTCAGTATTCCTTGGTGGTCGCTGGGTGCCGGTGGGGAATCTCCAGCCGGGACTCAGTGATCGACAGCTGTAGCCGCCAATTGCGGCACGGGTAGGGCAGCGCATGCGCCCTCTACCCAGAAATGCAGGGCTGCGTAAATTGATGGCGCTATATAAGTACCTGAAATAAATAAATAATAAATGCAAAATCACGTATATCTACATGATTTTGCGCAGCCCTGCCACCCTGTAGCAGTAGTTCTGCTATAGGGTGGTCGGGAAGCAGTTAAAGTAAGTTGAAAAATAACAAATTTACTGACTAGGGCACCAGGTGAAGATAAAAAAAATGCCCCAAAAAAGGAAACTAATGCAGCCACCCCATCTATGAATTCATAAGCTGCAATTTAATAATTTTTTTTTGGGAGAGGAGAGGATTTAATACTGCTTTAAACAGTCCTAACCTTGAACCTTTTTAAAGGAAAAGGTGGGCTGTATAAAAGGGTATCATTTTGCAAATTGGTAAAAAACAAACTTCAGAATCAAAAGAATTTAATACAGTTTTGAGAAGAAATCTCAGTTCAGCACTGCAAGAGGGACACCCAGTGTTGCTATAGATGTCAAAAAAGACTTCAGCAATAGCACAAATGTTTTAGCTCATGGGGTTTCCTTCATACAGCCTGCATAGACATGGAGGGGCCCTGAAGAAAAACAAAAAAATATTAAAAAAAACAACAGAATGGAGTCCCTTCCAAAATGTACACTAGGCCCTTATCCTGGAATCTGGGCATAAACAGAAATAAAAATGCATATTTTTTGAAGAGTAATTGAAGGTTAGAGCCCTTTTCAATTTATTATTTTTTTTTTTATGTGTCCCTGTTACAATTTTCTTTAACTGCTTCCACACCACCCTATAGCAGAATTACTGCTACAGGGTGGCAGGGATGCACAAAATCACACCATTTGCAGCCTTGGCTGTCAATTACTGGGTCCCGGCCGGTGATTCCCTGCTGGCACCCAGTGAAGTCCGAGTATTACCGAAGGGGAAGAGACCTGTATCTAAGCAATACAAATCTCTCCCCTGTCAGCTCCTGCACACTGCTTTATATGGCTCTGCATCTCAGAGTCATACAAAGCAGTGTGACTGCACAGCCCCCATAGTAAAACACACACAGCACATAGTTAACCCTTTGATCATCAATTCCCCCAGTGCCAGAATGCCCGCCGCAGTCCCACTATGTCACTGATCGCCGCCATTTCTTGTAAAAAATAAATTAATGAAAAATTCCACTATATAAACCGCCATTTGTAAACTTTACTATAACTTTACTACAACTACTACAACTTTACTACAACTTTCACATGAACCAATTAATTTACATGTATTGGGATTTTGATTTTAGAAAAGACATGTAGCAGAATACATTTTGGCCTAAATTTATGATGAAATTAGATTTTTTTAATTTTTTAACTGGACATGTTTAATAACAAAAAGTAAAAAATATATTTATTTTTTCAAAATTTTTTTGTTTATAGCGCAAAAAATAGAAAATGCACAGGCGATCAATAACACCAAAAGAAAGCTCTATTTGTGGAAAAAAAAGGACGTAAATTTAATTTGGGTGCAGTGTTGCATAACCATGCAATTGTCAAGTAAATTTAACACAGACCCGTACTGCAAAAAATCGCCTGGTCAGGAAGAGGGGTAAATCCTCTGGAGGGCAAGTGGTTAAATAGATTGTTAATAATGGTAAATTGCAACAATTTTCTTTAAGGACTCATTCACACTGGATGTTTTCTATCTCGTTTAGGTGCATTAGGGGCAGAAAAGAAAAATGGCAATTGTCGCCCCAGTGTGCATGAGACCTAAGCCTGTTTTTAATTACATGCTTTTGGGACTGTGGTAGATCAAAATATTCACATGAACAAAGCTTTTACAATCAAACAGTGCCATCAAATATAATATCACACACAGATCAATAACATATTCACCTGAATTAGTGCTATGTAAAAGTTTAAATAGTCATCTCTACTCATTCTATGTAAAGTCAGTGCTTTTTTTTCAGCGAGAATGTCGAGGAACGCAGTTCTGGCACCTTCTGCACTGAATGTATGTAATGGCAAGGGGTGTGGAGTATACCAGAGGATCTAATGATGCTGGCTGCTGGAGGATCTATTGTCACTCGTGAAGATAAGTTTTTGTGTGAAGGTCTAATGTTGCAGGTGGGGGATATATTGTTGTTGGGGGGAGCCTTATATTGCTGGTAGGGATCTACTGTTGAAGGAGAGATAGATGGCTGCCGGGAGATCTGTTCTTGCTGTTGGGGGGATCTTATGAAGCTGTGGTAAATATTTTGTTACTGGGGGTGAGGGTTTGTTGTGGGTGATCCATTGTTGTTATGTAGGAGATCTATTGTTGCTGGTTTGGGGTCTATTGTTGCTGCAGGGGATCTATTGTTACTGGAGTGTGGTCTATTGTTGGGGGAACCTATTGTTGCTGGGGAAGTCTATTGATGTGTGGGGGATCTATTGTTGCTGGCAGCAGGGGAACTATTTTACTGCTTTCCTTGTTATCATTAACAAATTCCATACAAATTATTTATCACTACAAAATGATACTTGGTTCTATATTCTCTAAAAGGGGCAGTACTGAGAGATGGGTAGGGGGTGGAACAAAGGGACCTTGCTCAGAGGAGGGTAGGGGACGGAGACTCAGAAAGGGGGGAGTTCCTGCACCTATTCTCTGAGAAAAAAAGTCCTGTATAGAGCTATATGTTATATCTCTTCTTGGGGACCATGTTTGGGGGCTCCAGTCTCTTCCCAAAATTGATATATACACTAATAGGTTTCCTGGCTTCTAGCCAAATTGGCTAAAGTTTATATGTATGAACAAAGGGTTTATGCAATCAAACACAATGGGGTTGATTTACTAAAGGCAAATAGACTGTGCACTTTGCAATGTGCAGTTGCACTCTGCATGTTCAGTTGCTCCAGAGCATAGTAAATTAGGTAAAGCCTCCCTTTGCCAAACATACCCAATCACATGCAAGGACAATAAAAAAACAGCATTTTTGCTTGCACATGATTGAATGATGGAAGTCAGCAGAGAATCTGCTCATTTACCAAGCTCTAGCGGAGTGCACAGTCTAATTGCCTTTAGTAAATCATCTCCAATGATGGAAACGCATTCAAACCTCTACAAAAGGTGGGTAGTCAAACATTCTAGCCCTTTCTCATGCTGTCCAAATCTACAAAAAAAAAAAAAAAACCTTTTGGCTTGAGTTCCTCTTTAATTATTAATAATGGCATTGTTTTATTGCATAATGCCATCAGATACATGCTCATTATGTTTGCAAGAGTTAATACAAATCTAAAAACTCACAATTGTCAATATTAAACAAAACATTTGTTTAGCCTTTATTGAGATACAATGCCATATGACCACTGTATATAATTCTGTAAATATGAATATTCTCTTTTTGTAAATACATTGTGCAATCACTTCAAAGGAATGCCACTTACATAGACTTTGAATACATGTTGTAACATTCAGATACATGAAAGCGGCATTTCTCCAGTCTCAGCCTATTGTACACCATATGGTTAGAGACGAGCAGATGGGCTGAGTTACATAGCAGGAAAAAAAAAAAGAATTTCCACATTGTGCTGATGACCCAATTGACCAACATGAACAGGAGTTCCCTGGTGACCTGACTTCACACATCTTAAAAGTAACTGATGTCTGTATTCTCTGCCCAAGGGGCATTTGTAGCTGAATAAGAAAATGAGTATAATCCCTACGTGTTTGCAAGATTAATTGGGATAAACTAAGGCATTAATGAGATATATTTTTTAAAACACACAGTTTATTAACAGATTCGCTCTGATATTATACAGTATCACATACAAGTCACATCAATCAGACTTCATACATGTTATTTTAGGCGCATCTTGTGCAGGTACTATAGGTGTATACAATGGAGGTATATATAAAACTTGCACTTTTCAGTATCTATCTGAAAAAACATCATCACAGTGGATTGTGTTATATGGAATGTATGAAGTGATACAGTATAGTGCCAATTCCCTGCTAGAAAGTGTTTATTTAAAGTGTCAGTCCACCTGAAGGATCTATTTTAGTTATAAGTGGAGCCTGGTGCAGCTACTGGCTTTTTATTTGTCTAGAATACTCCAAAAGTGAGATTTCCCTGCCATAATAATAATGATACACCCCATTTCTTGGTGACATGCATATAAAGCCATTTCTCACCTTAACCAAGTTCATTACAGTATATTCCTAGATTGTAAGCTCTAAAGAACAGAGCCCTCTGTTTCCTCTTGTACCAATTTGTATTGTAACCAGGGTCGGACTGACCATTTGGAAACTCGGGCACTGCCCGAGGGCCCGGGGTCAGTAGGGGGCCCCATGAGATGCCCCTGGTACCTTTTTCATAGGCTTTTTTGAGTTTGGGCAAGGACACAGGGGCCCCATGATCCCCTATTGCCTGGGGGCCCCATGAGTTGTCAGTCCGCCCCTGATTGTAACTGTAATGTCTACCTTAATTTTGTAAAGAGCTGCGCAAACTGTTGGCGCTATATACAGTAAATCTTGTATAATAATAATGTCTAGGCAAAATTTAAAAAAACATATTCAGTACATTTCTCCAGTACTTTGTATGTGCCTATGTAGGAACACCACAATGCTGAAAAATACCTGTTGAATTGAGCTTCTGGCAGTCTTGTATTGCAATCTCAAGCAGTGTTATCAGCCCTTCCGCTTCAGCTCTGTGAACTACAGATCACCTCTCCCTTATGGTAAGAAGATGAGGAGATGTGTAGGTATTCTGTAGTCTAAATGAGGAGCAAGCAGCTAAGGGTGACAACACTGCTCCTCCACAGATAGAGTACATGCTGTCATCCTACGGCAGGAAATGTGTTACTGGCTAGGATCACCAGGCAAGAAAAAACTAGGTGTACAGAAACAGGGAAATTGTGCTGCTGGAAAATCAAGACATATACACCTACAACTTAAAGTGGAACATCACTGTCTCAGCAACATGGCCAATTTTTAATGCTTATTCTGCTAGCATTACTAAATAGGAAGGGATATCATATTTACTTGTTTTAGTCTGGGTTCACATATATGTGGTGCGGTATATCACATGTGATTCGCACAGGAACCACCCCGCATTCCTGTGCAAATTACATGCGATTTGTGTGCGGTGCGATTGGAGCCATACATTTTGTATAGCTCTAATCGCACTGCACCCGCACCAAAAACGTTTTTGGGTCCGCACTAGAGTTGGATCGCATGGGTATTCACACCTATGCAATCTGATTCTGCACATCACACCGCTTTTTGCGGACCGCTTTTGGGGTGTTGCTAACTTAACATACACACCCGCAGCAGTTCGTATGAACTGGGTGCAATTCTCATGCGGTGCGGAATTCGCACAGAAAACACTACGAATTCTGCACCGCATCAGTGTGAACCAGAGCTTAAACTTTTTTTACATTACTTCCTGGTTTACATATCTATGCATACGATTATATACATCCCAGCAGTCTTCAGGAGTGAGGGAGGGTTCTCAGCTCAGCCTATGACTGAGCTAAGGGCAGATAGATTCCAGGAAGTAAATAACACATGAATCATCTGTCTTTACTCAAGATGGCCAATTCCATAAATGCCTGGGGTGTTTACAAATGAATAATAATGAATATTATTCATTATTATATAATAATAAATAATGATAATAATAATGACGATGATGATGAATATTACAAATTAATTAAATACATTTTTTTGTTTGTGATAGACATGTGCATGCCAGAAATTTTAGTTTCATTTCATTTCAGATGCATTTGTTCATTGAAGAATTTTGTTTCATCTAATCGTTATTTTGAACTGATTCGTTTTCGGTATTTCAGAAGATTGCTATATATTAGTTTTCAGTTTCGATATTTCGGGTGGATTTGTTATTCATATATATTCAAGCTATTCAACATTTTTGGATGCAACTGAATAAATATAATGAAAATTTTGGTGACCCTGAATTTTTCAAACCTAAGAATTGCATTAGACTGTGGAACTGAACTGACTAACTGTGACAATTACAAATTCAATTTCAATCACAAATTTACACAAATCTGAGTTATCGAACAAATTCAAAAATTTTATTAGTTTCCCCATGGGCCTGAACTTCTATTGCATCATGTGACGTCATCCGAATGCAAGAAATGAAATTAATGCATTTGTTATAACTTTGGTTGATTCATTGACATTTGTTACTATGTCCATTCGAAGATTTTATACATCAAATTTTTATCTGAAAATCAATTTGTAATGAAATTAAATGCAAATGTCTAGCACATAGGCTTTGCAAATCACTGCCTGTGGCCATGACAGTCTTTCCACTATCCATATTATCACTTTGCTTTGACAGGAAGAATAGATTGTGCAAAGCCATCCACAAGTTTTTGTTTGTAACTTCATATTATTATTTATAAATCAGTAAATGGATCACTTATTACTACACCATGGAAGCCTTTGCAGTGCTTTTGTTTGCTATGTATATCAGATGTTCATGAAAATCCTATTTCTCTCCTTTCTAGAGAGAAGTGGGAGCAACATTTTTCTATACCTTAGTATTAATGAATTTCTGTATATAGATTTAAGTACCACTGCCATTTTATTGTATGATCATAAGATTTTTTTAAATGTTATATTTTTTATTTGGTGTGATCACTAGGATTCCTCTTTCCTGTTACATGTTTCTTTTTTGCTTGATCAACAATTATTTTGTATCCATTCTTCTGAAAAACTGATGGCTGTACAGATTGCTGCTTGGGAAGATGTTAGGAATGCACATATGTAATATGTTAATAAAATATTAACTGATCTTTCTGTACTGTAACTATTTATTAAGTGTGGTACACTATATTTCATTAAGTATATTATCCTTATTAATCTAATGATATTAATCAAATATATATATATATATATATATATATATATTATTTTATTTTGTATTAACTATATTAAATTAACTATACTTTATATTCCTATTATCAATTTGAACGTGGGGACATAATAGAACAATGTAAGATATGTCTCCTGGAATTCTTATGTAGCTTGATGAAGTTATTCTTTTGTGTGCTGTGTGCAATTGGAAATGAAATCCACATAAAAGCCTAGTTTGATTAATCTTGCATTAAGGGACAGCTTTTCTTAGTGGAAAGGGGACACTCAGCGCTGGAGAGCCATCCAAGTCTTTTAATTACACTTTTTAGTAATGAAGCAGTTTGCACCCTGTTTAATTCTTTTGTCACCAATGAGTTAAAATTCATGAGCGTCTATGGCTTTGAATACTTACTCTAGTGCTGCTATTTTCTGCGCCAAGCTAGCCATCACAGCAAAGAGTCGTAGGTCTGTTAGGCCATCTGTTACATAATAGTCGACAATCTCCAGAATCTGGAAGAGTAGAGATGGATAGTGCTGAGATGATGAAGGATTGAGCATCAGCAGATTGCTACTGAGTGTGGAAGGGGAGATAATAAGCTCTGTCGCAAGCACAAGCTGCATTAGCATAGTAAACAAAACAAGCTTTAAAATTAAATAATCTGAGTACTAGCAATTATGGAAATAATTTGTGCATTTGTAGCAACGGTTCTGATGTAGGCAGATTTACAACCTGCCCTGAACTATCTATCTATCTATCTATCTATCTATCTATCTATCTATCTATATCTGTCTGCCCATCTATCTTTTTACCTTTCTGACTCTCTCTATATTAATCTATTTGAACACCAGAGGAATAATAAAACAAAACATGTATGATTAAACCATATGAGGATTAACACTCATACAAAAAGGTGAAGCAAACCAAAAATATGATATTGTAATATTGGTAGATTCACAACCTGCTCCAGACTTCAGTTCAATTGTCTATCTATCAATTTTATATATATATACTGCATATATATATATATATATATATATATATATATATATATATATATATATATACTGTATATATTTAATATAATTTATAAATATATGTTAGTTATGACATTATATTCTTCAATTCTCAGGCAACTGCAGTGAGTACAAATTTTGCATATTTGTTTTACAGTTTACTTGAAAGTAATTATTTTTTAAAGTTTTACTGAGGAACATTAGAGAAACATCTACATTTTTATGCATTAATATTATGTATAAAAAAGGTTTTATTTTAAAAACTATATAGGGGAAAGTAACATAATGATGTCAAATAAGAGGAGAAAGACAAAGGAGGAGTCTATGGCCAAGTGGATACCCAGACAGGCAAGCTAAAACCTTCATACCTGTATAGTAAACCAGGTGATAGTGCAGTTGATCAAAGCTGTGAACCTGCCTGTCACTTCACACAGTAAAATGCACTTGTAGGCAGTTTTGTGTCATTTCCGTACAGACAATTCAAGTGTCGTGGCTTCTCTGTGCCTATTGAAAACCCTACCAATATGAGTTGGAGGGATGAGGAGGGCAAAACTGCTACCTTGCCCAGGCGCATTCATGCCTTAAAATGGTTGTAACCCTCAGAAATGAAATACGAACAAAGCATATCCCTCTATAGTGTGTACTTGTCTCTATCCAGAGCACTAAGTGCCATTTCTGAATGCTGCCTCCCATTCCCCTGCTATTCGCATTAGTCATTTCTGACAAGTTTTCCTGACACCAAGAGAAAAATGGTGACAGGGAAGGGACCTTTAACAGATTGACAGCTTCAGATCTGTCCCTGTGTGCTGTATGGAAGGTAGGGGGTGTCCCTTCCCTCCAATTAGCTCTCAGAAATCTTCTTACTGAGCTCTGCAGTGTGTAATTTCAGCAATCCACCCCCTGTTTTCTGAAAGCTCAGACAAGCTTTTTTAACTTCTGAATTTTGAACAGATGTAGAGAAAAGGAGACTACAGATAAACAGATATAACTTATGTATGTAAAACTCTGTGTATCACCCAAGGCCAGTCTCTTCATTGTTATATGTAAAGGTTTACAACCACTTTAATCCATCTCTTTCTAGCTACCCAAATGTATTAAATGTTGTTCTTTCATATTTTATTTATTACAGGTGTTTTTATCCCCAACAATTTATGCAATGCTCAGAGGCGGACTGACCATTTGGAAACTCGGGCACTGCCCGAGGGCCCGGGGTCAGTAGGGGGCCACATGAGATGCCCCTGGTACCTTTTTCATAGGCTTTTTTGAGTTTGGGCAAGGACACAGGGGCCCCATGATCCCCTATTGCCCGGGGGCCCCATGAGTTGTCAGTCCGCCCCTGGCAATGCTTTACATATATTGTACATTCACATCTGTCCCTGCCCTCAAGAGATTATGATCCAGGGACCCTATCTCACCTGCATACATACACATAAGTAGGGCCAATTAAGACTGAAGTAATTTAACCTACGAGAACATCTTTGGAGTGTGGGAGGAAACCAGACTACCAGGAGGAAACCCAAGTAAGCACAAGGAGAACAATGTTAATGAACTATTGTGTTCTGACAGGGGGGTTGCCCCCCTTGCCAGGACACACTGATCAGCGCTCGCAGCCATTGGCTGTGAGTACTGATCGGAGGCTGGTCAGCTGCTGGTTTTCCAGCATGCCCGTTTGATTGGAGCCAGACATTAGGCCGGCTTCAGTTGAACACACTGCTGTGCACACTTGCCGAATCCCATATCCCATTTCTGTTGAACCAGCTGATACGGGACGATATTTGGCCAGTGTGTGCCAGCCTTCAGTACTAACTACTAAACCACTCTGCACACATCTTTATATCCTCAATTTTCCATAATTTGCTGACTGTATTTCATATGCAGAGATTCGCATTCTCCCTCTAGCGTCTGTCTTTGCTGAAGAGCACCTGACAAATCAATTAGCTACACAGGACCAGCTACCAGAAATCCTGTTATGATTTTCTCCACTTGTACTGCATATAATTTGGGCTTCATTTTCACATAGAACAGTATTATTTTTCACATGCAAATTCTTCATAGAAAGGTTTTCCTTTCAAGAGTTTAAGTATAGAAATGTGGGTGTTTGCGTTAATAATACTATATCTGTTTTTTTCTAAAGCTTGTATTAGTAATTACTAATTTAGTACTACTAGAAATTAGTAATGGGCTGCTACTTAAGGTTCTCAGCCAGACCTAGCTACTGGTGGCCCTGAGAGTAGCATGTACTGTTTGTCAGAATAATAAAATAAATATTTCTTTTTTGCTATCGTTACTGGTATTGTTTTAAATGTATGTCATGGCAACATTTATAAAGGCATATTCAGTATACCTCCGCAATACATGCATTTTTCCAGATACCAGCGAAATGGTTAGCACTTCTGCCTGGCAGTATGCGGGTCGTCGGTTCGAATCCCAACCATGGCACCACCTGCCTGGAGTTTGTATGTTCTCCCTGTGCCTGCGTGGGTTTCCTCCGGGTACTCCGGTTTCCTCTCACACTCCAAAGACATGCTGGTAGGTGAATTGGCTCCTGTCTAAATTGGCCCTTGTGTGTGTATGTATGAATGTGAGTTAGGGACCTTAGATTGTACGCTCCTTGAAGGTTAGGGACTGATGTGAATGTACAATATATATGTAAAGCGCTGTGTAAATTGATAGCGCTATATAAGTACCTGAAATAAATAAATAATTTTGTCTCTTTAAAAAGGCTACAAGTCCAGTAATATCCCTGTTGATCCTGCATGCTGGTAAGTTCATGTAGTGAATACAGCCTCTTCTGAACTGTAATCCCAAATAGTTGTCACTGGTTGCCTGAATTTTCCTCTGCTGAACTACTGAACAGATCCCATTTTGTATTATGGAGCCGAAGGAGGGGTGGGGGGGGGTCATTATGTAGTTACAACAGTGGAGAGCTCAGCCAGTGCTAATGACACTGCTTGGGATTTCGTTACACCAAAGGCAGAGTTGTCAGCCCACAAGAGGACAATAAAAGCTCACCGTGTTTCTGTTAGATTACCAGGTTCTAAATGTAATGCTTCTTAAAGTGCAGCTCCACCCAAAAGGGGAAGTTCCGCTTTAAGGACTGCTCCCACAAATTTGACAGGTACCTGCTCCCACTTCCGGTCCGATCGCCTAGGCAATCGAAAGCGGAAGGTGCCCTCCCTCCCTCACTCCCTGTAGTCTTTTGGGACACATGACAGGTCCCAGAAGACTATGGGACCATTCAGGAAGCGCAGCACTACTCGCGCATTGCACAGTGGGTACCCGGGTGTGAAGCCGCAAGCTATCACAGCCGGGTGCCCACACTGAAGATGTCGGCCTCCTGGAATACAGGACGGCCGGTGAAAGGGGCTGCGGGGGACACACCACGGGACCAAGGGACAGGTAAGTGGCTGTTTTTTAAAAGTCAGCAGGTACAGTTTTTGTAGCTGCTGACTTTTATTTTTTGACAGGGTGAGTGGAACTCCGCTTTAACAGACAAAACATGGGGAAATGTACATGCAAAGCGTTGTGTTTTTTTGTTTTTGCCTATACGGTACATATTCTTTCAAGAGTAAATCCAGCCAAAATAGTTTTTAATATGTAGATAGAGTAAAGAAAATGTAATATCTCTGCCGAGGTTGAGCCTTTTTAATCTCCTTTCCCCACTACCATGGTTAGAGAACTAGGTTGTAAGGGTCATTTGTGTAACAAAGGTTCTAAGGCCTCATTCCCATGGATGCTGGCATGCATACTGCATCTGCCCTGAACGTGTGCAGGCAGCCTACGGAAGTCAATGTAGATGCATCGGCTGCATGTACTCATGGATTTGACAGGTGTGCAGGAGTGGGTCCACAGCCACAAATGCACATTGTCTGCGTTCAGAGGCGCAGACCCAATCTTGCACGCTTGTCAGATTTTGAGATATGGCTGTGTCCATGCAGTCACAGCATCTGTATACACTTCCATAGGTTGCCTGCATGCAGCTCGGACAGATGCAGGAGCAAAAACAAACACCTTCTTCATGCAGTATGGGTGCTAGTGCCGGTGTAGTAGCAAGATCAGCAGGGGGGGCTGATCTTGCTACTATAAGGTCTAACTCTTCCCCATGCTATGCAAAAAATAATAAATAAATAAAGATAGTTTTACTTTGAAAAATGTCTTTCTTGGACTTAGTAATTGAGTACAAAGTTCAATGTTGATATGCATAGGTGCAGTAACCTATAGCAGAGAATCAGGTTTCAATTTACAAATGCAAAAGAGAAATTCTGAATGCTTTAGGTTTCTGAACTTTGTTTGTTACTTTTTACCTCACTAAATAAGCCTCTATTGTACACACTAAACTACATGATACAATGCACATAACCTAAAAATGTCTGTCAACCTACATCTACGAGTTTCTAAGAAACACCTGTCATTGCAGAAATATGAAAGTTGCCTTTGCTGACAGTCTACTGAAAATTCTAATTGCCTGACAGCCTTTGGCTTCACTGACCTGAAACAAATATGCAGCAAACAAAATGAGAAATCTAGGTCTGTATGCTTGGTTCAGGTCAATGATTCACATGTATTGAAGCCAGAGGAAAAGTATGCCATACAGGCAACCAATAGTTGCAGTGATTATTCAACAATTGCAGCCAGGGCCATCTTTAATAGTGATTGGACCCGGGGCAAACATCTTCATGCCCCCCCCCCCCAGCAATTTCACTCTCCACCTGCTCTGAGATATACAATAAATAGCAGCTAAACTCAAAATCAGTTTACTGCAGCAAATCAGGCAGAAAATTGCAATTGATTGCTGGAGGTTACAGCAATTCATCACCACTCACTGACTGGTTGCTAGACGTCACAGCACATATTGCAGCTCACTGATTAGTTGTTAGAGGTTATAGTACATGATTTCTGCTTGGTGATTGGTTGCTAGAGGTTACTACACATCCTTACTGCTCACTGATTGGTTGTTAGAAATCTATGCAGATCATTACCTCTCACCCACTGGTTGCTAGAAGTTACTGTACATCCTTACCACTCACTGATTGGTTGCAAGAGGTTACAGCACTTACAGTGGGGAAAAAAATATTTAGTCAGCCACCAATTGTGCAAGTTCTCCCACTTAAAAAAATGAGAGAGGCCTGTAATTGGCATCATAGGTAGACCTCAACTATGAGAGACAAAATGAGAAAAAAAATCCAGACAATCACATTGGCTGATTTGGAAAGAATTTATTTGCAAATTATGGTGGAAAATAAGTATTTGGTCACCTACAAACAAGCAAGATTTCTGGCTCTCACAGACCTCTACCTTCTTCTTTAAGAGGCTCCTCTGTCCTGCACTCATTACCTGTATCAATGGCACCTGTTTGAACTTGTTATCAGTATAAAAGACACCTGTCCACAACCTCAAACAGTCACACTCCAAACTCCACTATGGTGAAGACCAAAGAGCTGTCGAAGGACACCAGAAACAAAATTGTAGACCTGCACAAGGCTGGGAAGACTGAATCTGCAAAAGGCAAGCAGCTTGGTGTAAACAAATCAACTGTGGGAGCAATAATTAGAAAATGGAAGACATACAAGACCACTGATAATCTCCCTCGATCTGGGGCTCCACGCAAGATCTCACCCCGTGGGGTCAAAATGATCACAAGAACGGTGAGCAAAAATCCCAGGACCACATGGGGGGACCTAGTGAATGACCTGCAGAGAGCTGGGACCAACGTAACAAAGGCTACCATCAGTAACACACTACGCCACCAGGGACTCAGATCCTGCAGTGCCAGGCGTGTCCCCCTGCTTAAGCCAGTACATGTCCAGGCCCGTCTGAAGTTTGCTAGAGAGCATTTGGATGATCCAGAAGAGGACTGGGAGAATGTTTTATGGTCAGATGAAACCAAAATAGAACTGTTTGGTAGAAACACAACTCGTCGTGTTTGGAGGAGAGAGAATGCTGAGTTGCATCCAAAGAACACCATACCTACTGTGAAGCATGGGGGTGGCAACATCATGCTTTGGGGATGTTTCTCCGCAAAGGGACCAGGACGACTGATCCATGTACAGGACAGAATGAATGCGGCCATGTATCGTGAGATTTTGAGTGCAAACCTCCTTCCATCAGCAAGGGCATTGAAGATGAAACGTGGCTGGGTCTTCCAACATGACAATAATCCCAAACATACCGCAATGAAGGAGTGGCTTCGTAAGAAGCATTTTAAGGCCCTGGAGTGGCCTAGCCAGTCTCCAGATCTCAACCCCATAGAAAACCTTTGGAGGGAGTTGAAAGTCCATGTTGCCCAGCGACAGCCCCAAAACATCACTGCCCTAGAGGAGATCTGCTTGCAGGAATGGGCCAACATACCAGCAACGGTGTGTGCCAACCTTGTGAAGACTTACAGGAAACGTTTGACCTCTGTCATTGCCAACAAAGGATATATAACAAAGTATTGAGATGAA